AATTGCGATCTTTTTTTTAGGAACACTATATGCGTCTGATTCCGTCCATCGTTAACTTCGGCCAGGTTCGGCAATGAAACAACAGCGCTGATGCACAGGAAGGAGTACCATTGTCCACGGCCGTACCCACGGACACTAATTTCCAGAAGAAAAAAAAAAATAAAGAGCAGGACAAGCTCTGCATGCAGCGTGCGCTCGTTGCCTGCAGCCGTGCCTTGGCTGTGCGTGCACCGAGCGGTACGGAAGGTAGATAGCTCGCGCTCAAGTCAGCTATTGAACTAATCATTTTATATTGCGACAGACTATATTGCATCAGTGCTTAGTGAAAAAGCAGGTCGCTAACATGATTAACAATCTGCTGAATCACCGAAAACAGATGAACTGACAAGTTTACTGTTCGATGTTTGGTTTCCGTACACCAACCTTTTCTAACTTCGAGACTGGAAACGTCTTTTATAATTACTACAAAAGTTTCATATAATCCCGTAGATAATATAAAAAGTGATATTGTCCATGCCTGTTTTATTTAAAGAAATTAAGCGCTCGAGAAATATTTTGATAGACCAGCGTAGGCTGACTAGAGAATTTGTTTAACTAAAGTACTCATTAACAGCATTTAAAAATATTGGCTTTATGAAATAAACTTTTTGTTATATGGACATTTGCTTACGACGTTCTCAAGGTATGAGAATGGTGAGATAAGTGAATGCCAGACTTCAAATAAAGTCTGATATTCATCTTCCATAAAATTTGCCGAATGAAATTGAAGAGCGCAAAAGAAATGATCTCCGATAAGTTCGGCTGTAGTCGAACGCCAGGCGCCACCCAATTGACCTGTGTAGAAAGCTGTTCACTGATTTGAAACGATGCGCTTTGCACATTTTGACGTCGTCAGCTACTGAAAGTAACTCCCTATTCGCCGTGGACAACCGGCTGCACTCAGGTGATTTTCATGCAGAAGGATTCTTTTCGGAGTCACATTTTGTAAATCATAGGCTCTATCAAGTGCTATGTGACAGTTTCTTACGCGGGGAGTCAAAATATTTGTGTTGAAACAAATTAATTGAAACTGCATGGTTGTATTAAAATTACTTAAGCAACTGAAAGACTATGGACACGGGACCAAGCACGATATACTATTTTGTAGAATTCATAAATATACCGATAAAGCGAATGCTTATATCACACACGCGATTAAGAACGTAAAACGGATATAGGTGTGATATAGCAAACAAACAAGTTGCCTAATGTTAAGGTACCATTGTTTATAGCATAAAAAATAATTCAAACTGAACGTTTGTTCCCGCGTCTTGTCCACAAGTTCCCTAGTGTAATCAAAAGAAACTGCTTTCGATCTGTTGTGACTACAAAACACCATGCTTTCGGAAAAAACACGTAGCTAATTGCGCTGAGTGTTTTTGTCTTCTCCCTTTACACCAATGCGCACTCATATATATATAATAACATTGGGCTTCCTATTGCAAATGTTCCGCCCTTATTAGTAACCAAACCTCAGTTCTCGTAAGTTATTCGTATTTGAACCCTCGAGGCTCTCTTGAAGTCATATATGTATTCAATGTGCGCAAGTGCTAACGCTGATTCCTGTTCCTATAAAGCCTTTTCACACGTATCCCGCACGCCGACGGTAAAAAAGATTCAAAACGTGTTACAAAATTAACTGCAGAAGTTGCGCGCACAATGATGTAATGCAATTGCATGGTGAGTATAAGTATCGGACGACACTTTACGGAGTAAGGCAAGAGACGCGGTGAAACGTGACGAAAAACACGAATTCAACGCATCCGCCAAGGCGCGGACGGGAGAGCGGAGCAACAAGTTGAAGCAACCTAATGGCGGCCGCATCACGTGATTCCAAGATGGCAGCGCCCATGCGGCGGAGGGTGAAAAGGTCTATAGCTTGCTCGGGACGTGATTCGTGACCAAGTAGGTATTTTATGTGCAACGAGCGTTCGATTCCACGTCTTAGTTGTACACCGCAGAAGTAGTAGCTCAAGGGAACCAGCTAATAGAGATAACCGTCAGTACGCAGCAATGGCGACACCTGCAAGGGGGGGGGGGGGGGGGGGGGGGAGGCGTGGAGAGCGGAATACTTGGCCTGGCAGAGGTCCCTGCATCTTCAGATCAAGCTCTTACTTATCGTCTGCGAAAAACGGCGATTCGAATCCTCCGCCAACTCACATTTGGACTAAGTAACTTTACGAGCGAGCCATACTGCCGCGAGTTGGCGCTGCATCTTAGGAACTTATGACGCGGCGGCATTCCAACGGAGCTTCAAAGACCGCCACCAGGCGCAATTTTAAAATCCGTTAATTCGTCTTAAAATGAGTTTTATTGACATTTTGGCTGACAGCCCAGAAAAACTCGTCCAGACTACTGTTTCTGGGCTGCCGGCACAACGTAGAACACATCTAAACGAAGAAGTCAGGCCAAACATTTTGTTTTCGTACCCCTTTAAGGGGGGACACAACCCAGAAAAGACAATTTCTGCAAAAAGTGTTGATTTTGAAAAATGCCATGCTTACATCCACCAATATCTAGAGAGTATTCCCAGAAAGTTTCATTGGTTTACACTGGCTAGTTAATATTTTATAAATTATTTTCCGTCCACCGATGCTAAAGAAAAGGTAGAGGTTGGAGCACTTTGAACGCGTTTTTCTCAGTTAAGCGTTTTGGCAGCAAATGGCATTTTAATAAAACTATCGTTTCAGTATGAAACTATCGTGAGACTTAATATTTGCGGCTTATATGCCGAAATATGAAGCCGGTTACTATGAACTTAGCATAAATTGATTTTTGTTTGAAAAATGCATAATTTCTGAAATTTCTTTTCATAGTAACCGGCAGCCGGTATTCCAGTATGCATTTCACCAGAGAAATATATGATTATCAATACCATTTCTCAATGATAGCTTCATTGAGCAGATTCGATACAAAGCTATGCTTTACTTCGTCCTGGGGGTGTAAAACTAGTTCACAGGGTTGGACTTTGCATGCCCTCCTTCTTTATGGCTACAAACACCACCTCCAAATATCACGCCGATTGAGTGAGCGGCTCAAAAGTTGACGTTCCCAGGTAGTGTCCCCCCTTAAGACCAGGCGGCTCTTGACTTTCAAACTTCGTGAGTCCGGTAAATAACAAGAAATCGTGGCTTACATTATAATTTTTGTTTCGTTAGCAAGATGTCTAATGGGTGCGAATGTTCGTCCCACATTTAATTCCCTCGCGAAAACAAATCTGTTCTGACACCTTTTGTGAGTGAACTCTTCGGCGGCCATTGGAAAGACGTTTCCGGTGCGAACCAAAGCTGCCAGGTGACATTCCGGAAGCGATGCACTCTCTTGTACCGATCACTCTTTTTTTCCTTTTTTTCTTTACTGTCCCGGTCATGACGGAGTGACTGAGACCAGCTCGCTACTGCCCAAACATCTGCCTCTTTTTCCAGGTCGCGTTTGCAAAGGAAAGCGGTATGTATGGCATCCAACGCGCCACGGGCTGTTGCATATTTACCGAAAGGCTCATCGTACAGGCAAAACTGAATCAACATTATTTGCATTACATCTTGCGGAGTTGTCGGACCCGCCTCTCCATCTTTGTTTGAATTAACGTTCTATTTTATTTGTTCTCTCTTTACCGTGTAGCGCAGCGCGTTGCTTATTGATACGTAGGTGTTTGTTCTTCTTCCGTGCCTGCCGATTTGTATCGATTTGTATAAGTGGCTTGAAAGGGACGTCGCATGAGCACGCCACTGTGATGGTACCTTCAGGTACCTTCTGGAGCATACATTTCGCTCGAGAGGGAACAACCGCCAGCATGGTAGGATCACGCCGCGTGCAACCCACGCATCGCAACGTTCTAGGTCACAACACGTGCAATTCTCACTGGGCTATAGCACGGGAGCCCGAACCTACGTTCTTGGGTTATTGAATGTTTGATACGCTGCGTTGTATTGTTCCAGACCATAAATCTGCTCAAGGGCAAAATAGAGCATGGTCAGGTGGCGTTAGGCACCTTTCGCTAGACTGTCCAAAGCCCTTCTCCAGAAAAAAAAAAAAATACTTTTGACATTTGCACTGCGATTCTGCGACCTTTAATGTTGCCGGTTGCTTACACTGGGTCTTCAGAACGGGACGTGGGCACATGTCGTGCTGCTTACGAATGTCCAAAAGAGTGACGTGGACGACTTTGGTCGGTTACGGCGGGAAGTCTGTGCTGAGGCGACCGTCACGGCGCCTGCGTCCCATCTTCAATTTACATACACGCTCTCGGGACGTCATTCCGACGGTCTTCCGTACCCAGAAGAACCCTTCGGAACGACGAAGACAAGAAGCGGCATCCGTTTAACGCGAATCCGGTTAAAGCGGACTTCCTGTCCTCTGTACACGAGTGTGTCAGAGCCATCCGCGTCTCGACTACTGCCCGGCCTACAACTCGTTGTTTGCTGCTACCGCAGTTCAATTTCGGGCAAGCGCCGTAGCCTGCGCTCGAGAACACGGACTGCGGAATGTTCCCAGCGGGGAGTGAATGTTGACTTTGCACACAGACATCTTGGGAGAGCGTTCACTGGCCGTTCCGGAGACGAGCGCAGAGTCGTGACAGCGAACTTAATTCTAGTGTTCTCCGTAATGGATCGGAAAGGTGCAACAACCACGGTGCGCTGTGACGTCCGAGGCGTGGCCAAGCCCTCGATCGTGATCGCCAGCGGACCCCTTTGGGTACGCTTTGCTTGTTGTCTTTGCCCATCCGCGGGGACGGCGCGCGAGTCCTCGGCGGGGGGATGTGACGGAACGAACTTGAACTCGTAGTGGCAGCGCTTCCTTCCTTCTCGACCCTGGAAGAGCGCTGTCTGCTGGAGTTCAACCGCAGGACGATGCGGAGGCCAGGTTGTTTACACCGAAGCTGCGTCACGTGAGCGGCCGCCTTAAATAGGAAAGGGGTGGCCGCCCGGATGCCCATTCTGGAATTTCGGATGCGACGAGACGCATCGGAAGAGATCGTTGTTGAAGCGACACTGAGCGGCATCATGAAGGTGAGGATTGAGGCGAGATAACTTAAATGGTTCTATGAACTTCTTTTGTTTTTTTCTGCACAAGTGCTGTTCGCTTGAGGTGATTGATATAGTTGGTTATTACAAGTGCCGTGGACATTTTATAATTACAGCAACAGCGCAAGATAGACAAACAAATGAGGAGACACAAAGGACTGACAATGGCGCTGTTGCTTTTGTGTGTCTGTGTGTGCGTCCCCACCTTTTTTTGTTCTTGTCTTTTTCGTTTTGCTGTTACTGCTATTATGAATTGCCAACTCACTCAAGCTTTCATCTTAACAAACTTTTTAATATTACACAATATTTCGAATTTTTATGACTCATCGTTCAATGCAACACTTACGTGGCAAGCAGAGAAAGCGACGCCCGATTCCTTGTATGCTTTTATAAATGTCACAAGAACGGTACCCCCTTCCCCCCTCTTCTTCAGCTAACGTTTCGAGAGTTCCCAATGCTCAGCGTACAGAATCGAGCCTGAGAGCGTACCATATTACGCATTACAAGCATACTGCCCACGGATCGCCTGAAGAAGCAGTTGTTTCTAACACTGTGTCATTAATTTCAGCTGTCCTTGATAGTGGCTACGTTACTCGGACTCACGAGGGGCGTTCCCCAGCCCGCTGCACCTGCTGGGTTTGTCACTCAACGAGGCACAAGCACTCAGTACAAGACCCAAGACGTGAGCAGAAGAACTTTCACTATTTTCCGATTTTCACAGCATCCTCCGTCTCCAAGGAGTGCTGGCCTATGCGCACCTGATTATGAACAAGCGAATTTTGTCTGTCTCGTCAAAATGATAACAGGCTTATAATGTAAAAACAGCGCAAACAAACATGGACGAAGGAGAAGAAACGCGCAGACGGGACAAGCGCTTGTCCCGTCTGCGTATTTCTTCTCCTTCGTCCGTGTTTGTTTGCGCTGTTTTTACATTATGATCAACGAATAACAACTAGCCCAACTCTCGACATTAATTCAGTTGATAACAGGCTGTTACGTATTGGGCCGTTACGATGAACGTTGAGAACATGCGGTCGTCCGCAATTGGATGGTGACCGATTAGTACTACTACCAGCGCATCCAAGTGCGCACCGCGAATGACAAAGTTTGCGCATATCTGGAAAGAACAGATTCGCTATAGAAAAACAACTAGGAGTTACCTTCCGTGATGGTGGTGGTGGTGTGTGTCATCAGAGAGCATTGACGGGGTTTGCATATAAGTGTTAGTGCTGACAATGATGCTGTCCGAAGCACCTGACGACACTATGGCAAAGGCACTACTTTAATGCGTTAGCTGCGTATTCATTCCCATACTAGGGCCACCGTGCAAAGTAATTTATATACCTTGTACGTAAAGTCTGTCTAACGATAATACTTATTTTACGGAGGTCCGCTATTCATTGCTTGTTAACATGGGTGTAGTGACAAGTTATTTTGCTTGCCCTTTAATATGCACAAACACAATGTTATATATATATATATAAATAATTGAAAAAATATACTCTTTAGGACTCCCAACCCTTTAGTTTTCTTGCTTTTTTTTCAACTTCAGAAAATTTCCAATCTTGTTATTGAACCCGCCGAAATATAACAGCTAGAGAAAGCAACGTTCCGAAAGATAACATATCTAGAATATTTGAATTTTTTTTTAAAGCGTAAACGTTTGTTCGACATTTTTTTATTTTTTTACGGCGTTCCAGAGTATGGGCAACTATCAGTTCGGATACGACGTCTCACACAGCACCGGCAGCAGCTTTCACAAGGAGACGGGCTCCCCGGGAGTCAAGATCGGCTCGTACGGTCTCCGCGACATCGACGGCCGAGTCCGCGTCGTCAACTACGTGGCAGACTCGCAGGGTTTCCGAGCCGACGTCCAGACCAACGAGCCCGGTGTCGTCTCCAAAGACCCCGCCGGAGTCACCATCAACCGCACTCCATCGGTTCTACCTCTACCAGCCGTGGGCTTCACCCTCCGTGAAGACAATGACCCGTCCGCTTTAGGCGTCCCAGAACCCGGCGATGGATCGTCTGATCTTGCTCTTGCTGACACCGCAAGTCTGGCAGAACATTCCGGTAGTCCGCTCACCGTCGACAACAGTCCACTAGGAGGAGCGTATGGTGGCGACACCGTCCCCGATGTCCCGGCTTCCATTGGAGGCTCCAAGGACGTTGCCGTCACTCCTGCTGAAGAAGGCTCGAAGACCTCCAGAAATCCAACACCGGATGCAGGCCAGAACAATTCAGGATATCCACCTGTTGTTCAGGAAACGGACATTGTGGCCAACCCTACAGTTCCGGCGGGGCAACGAAAACCAGGCGGCGTTCAGTCATCTCAGTACCCTCCCGCAGTAGGACCTTTGGGCGTCGGGCACGGGGCTGGGGTCTTAACGGGAATGAGCCCTGGTCAGGGCCATCCGAATCCGGGGTATCCTTTCGAAGTAATGCTTCACGCAGGTTATCCAGTACATGGCCACGTACGGCCCGAGCATCCCTGGCGTATACCACCTTTCGCCCAGCCGCACGGTTATAATTTTCCTGGACAGGAGTATTCGCACCCCGGTCATCCGGGATTTTACCATTATGCGCCCTACACGCCAAACCATTATGGCTACGCGGGATCGCGATTTAATTACTACGACATGCCATTTGGTGTGCATGGAGTACCCCACCAGCTGTATGCGCAACCTCATCTCGGATACTTACGCTCGGCTCTCGGTGTCTAGTTTGAGGGTAGTGAAGATGCAGATGATTTGGGCATTGGACATTAGGTAGATCACCATGCACATCTTGAAAGACCGCTCGAACTGGAAGTTCGCTATTTATTTTATGAGATGACGACTGGTTTTGAGACTGAACGAGACGTTCGGTTTTCAGGGGTGTGTCCGATATCTCAAAACGCCTCTCGATCTTGACAATCGTGCTTTTGACAATGACGCCAAGAACTGATAGCGTTCAATATCTGGGTATCTAGAATTCTTCGAACGGGCATTGTATTTGCATTGCACTTCGAAGCAGATTGTAGTTTTGAAAAATTAATTTATCCTACGAGTACACAATCGAACGAAAATATTTCCATTTGAATTTATAATCCGATTGAAGTTTCTTTCCCTCGAGCCTAATTCAATCACGACGACTCTGTTAGTATGAATTGCTATATCAAAGGGATTGTGATCAGGTAATCACGAAGCCGGTTTTTGTCTTCTATATAATTTATCTCCAGAAAAAAAGAAAAGAAAGAATACCATTGATTTTTTTAAAACTATATTTCAGAAGGCATTCAGGTTTGTTTTTGCAGAACCATTTTTTTTTCATGTTCCCGTGTACACGAACAATGTTTTCCCTTGGACATTGCCCATTGAAAAAATAAATTATTGTTTGAAGATCTCATTGCTGTCTCTCTGTTGATTACTTACCCCATGACTTTACAACGCCATCGAATTACGATATGTTGATTTGATAATTTTATAAAATAAGAGCGTTGATAGAAAACCAGATAAGCCTTATAGCTTTCTTATTCGATCACGTCATTGACGCCACTTGACGTCGCGGTAACGCACACTGCGCGACAATAAACACAACTATGGCGGGTATTTCTTTTTTTTCATTTTACTTTGAAAGGGTTTTGGTGGTCATAACAATTTACCACTAACGTTAGTAGCCCAACTGAGCACTAACTACCACTATACGGGGCTTGTTCGTGCTTACATTGTCGCCGATTGTGCATGTTGAGCGGCCATTGGCTCCAAGACTTTTACTGACCATTTTGGTATATAGACCAACTGCGGTGGCGCTGCAGTCGGCACTGAGCATTCGCAGACACTCCAGGCCTCCCGAATTTGAGTTCTGCGCGCAGCAGTGCGCGCACCTGGTGTGGACAGACGCTGACTTGTTTGTAAATTGTGTGTTGGTGAATAGCGGAGGTTTTATTACCCCATTTTGCAGCGTCTCGTCTTCCACTCCATGTATAGCTAACGAGCCGGACTGAACAGGTTTATGTTAGTCAATGGCAAGACATTTGTTTATGTCGATATCTGCGTAGTACACTCGTAATTGTTGAATCGCGACAAATAAAATAAATGTAAAAGAGACAAAAAAAAGAGAGAGCCTAATCGATTATTTTGTTTTCGGAGAATTAGCACGTATTGGCAGGAAACAACTATTGCACATTATATGAACGTGAAAAGCTTAGTTTGTCACTCACATTTGTCTCACCTTAGTCTAAAACATGTTTCTCGACAAAATCATGTTTATGTCGGCTACGGATACTATTAAGGCAAGCGTTTCCTTTGAACCGAATTAAAATCGGGTCGTCCACAAGGAAATCCTTATTGTACGCTGTTACAAATAATAATAAGTAAGAAAACAACCGAAGAAAATTTGTACGGTGCCGGTCGGTGCAGTAGCATTCGATGAATCTGGGCGTGCCGAAGTTGGGCTTGCAAAAACGCGTGTCCATTGACGAAACAATTTTGTTGTTAAAATGTCACCAACGATTTCGTGCCTCTGTTTAGTACCGCGGGGGAGTTTATTGGAGGAAAGAAACCATTTGACAATCGGAAACATGTCGTACCTGGGCCCTAGACTAATATTAGCTCGGAATTCGTCAAACATACGTGAGATTCGAGCATAAGCATCAACAAAAATACCGGTCTCCTTCTTTCTACCTCTATTTTTTTCTTACGAGATGCAACGTTTAGAGTTAACGGCTTTCGTAGTTGTCGCAAGTGAAGCAGAACTTTCGAACTTCAACCGATCGAGAAAAAAAAAGGAAAGGTTTACTTTTTTTTTCTTGAGGAAACGAGAGCTTTTGAAAGACATGGTTCAAACACAGAAGTTGGGGTACGAGGAACTAGCAGAGAAAGACCGGGAAGTAAAAAAAGGGGAAAAATAAACAAAGGACGTCGTCTAATGCATGGTTCAGAGAAGACGAAGGAACCCTGACGCCTGCTTTGGCGGCTGCAGCATAAATAGGCAGCTAGGAATTCTCTGAGACCCATTCGACACCCGATCCCAAAGCCAAACAGCCGACGCCATGAGCTTGCTCCTCAAGGTAGGAACACTGCCTTTTGAAACTTGGAACTCCTCGTACGTCGTTTCACCCCACATTGCATGCATCATTGTAAAACAAAAACGCAAGATTGTGTTGTTGTTGTTCTTCTCCTGGGAGGGGGGATTTTATTATTTGCACGATGAACGGTCTGTAAAGAAACCCACACCAGCTTCTCTATATCAGGCTCAGGTGTAATCTGCGATTTTCCGTCGTCACAGAGCAAAGAAGACTACAACCTACTCCGAGGCTCTTGTTGAGTATGTTAACTTCTGAACCTCAATTTATTTATAGATGCGCGCGGATCAACTAACATGGGGCCGGTGATTTACAGGATAGTGCATATACAAGGTGTCCCCGAGAAAAAAGAAACAGTTTTTTTTAAACGAAAAAAAAAAATTAATTGCGTATTGCCAAACGTTCATACTCCGCCCAAAGGTAGGGTTAGGGGTCCGAACCAGATGCAAAAGTTCCAGCCCGAGCCGATATCTTGTTCAAAAGTTATAGTAGACTTTTTGAAAATTTCAAAGGGAAAATGGGGCCCATTTTCGCCCGCTCTCGGTTTCTGGCGCCATAGAGCTCCATGTATTGGAGAGCTCCGACGGCCGCCATTCTCCCGCAGAAATTCTAAAAAAAATAACTTATAACTCTTGAATAAGATATGGGTTCGGGCTGAAAACTTTGGCATCTCGTTCGAACCTCTAACGCTACCTTTGGGCGGAGAATGAGGGTTCGGTGACCAGTAGCTTATTTATGGGGGTGAAAAAAACCCTATACATCTTTTTTTGGGACACCTTGTATATGCACTATCCTGTAAATCTCCGGCCCCATGTTAGTTGATCCGCGCGTCTGCTCTTGCACAGAACTCGCGAAAGCCAGTCATTATTATTTTTTTTTTTTATATATCTATGGAAGACGGGTAGGTGAATTACACCGATGAACTTTCCGCACCAAAGATTTATGTGCGGTGGGTTATAATAAGAACTTGAGGTGCCGTGCAAATCGTCACAGCGCATATAGACTTTTCTTTATTTCTTTTTTTATCGAGCACCATCTGTCTCATCGTGGATCGTTCATAAAGGGCCCGCAACAAGATGATGTCCCTTTTCTCACGAAGACTCAGTAGTTAACTGGTATGGTGCGAGTACTTCGAGGCCTCGCGTTTATTTTCCCCACAGGCCGCCACACTTCTAGGCCTACTTTTGCTGATGGTCGCGGGCCAGTACGACGACTTTGGTGGCGGAGGCGACGGAGACGGCGGCTACGGCGGCTACGACGGCGGGGACGGTGGCGGCTTCGGCGGTGGAGGAGGAGGGGGCGATGACGGAGGCTTTACCGGAGGTGACGGTGGTTTCGGGGGCGAAGGTGGCTACGACGGCACCGAGATTCGTCCCGTGTACGCCTCGCCGGAGACGATGACCGGACCGACGGTGTTCCTCAGGAAGAGGAGGTCGCTCCCTGACACGTCCTCTGCAGCGGCCCAGTCTCAAGAGCACCACCACAGGGTCAGGCGAGGAGGCTACGGCGTCGTGGGGCCCGTGTACACCTACGTGAAGACGGACTACGACGGGAACTTCAAATGGGGGGCGAGGCACCACGTCGGGAAGTCCTACGGAGGTCACCACGGAGGGGGAGGCTACGGCGGAGGCTACTGAGAACAATGAGTTAACCATCAACGTTTTGATATTCTATTTCACGTCACAGAATTTTACAACCCTGCTTATACGCACATTGTTGTTTCTAGTGTTTAACGTCAAAAATGTTTTTTTTTTTCTTTTTTGTTAAATTTTGCGAGATGTTTTATTGGAGCTGGGCAAACACCCGCTTTAAGCTTCGGGATATTGCGGCGGGCCGATAAGATTACGATGATATTTTAACTAGACTATGCTCAGCTGAATAATTGGTTTAATTGTTAGTAATGTGCCTCGCAACTCCTTATAACATGTTTCGCGACTAAAAGTGCTCAATTTATAACCAAAAAGTGGAAAGAAAGGCGAGTTTTTCATGACTAATTGTATATATAAATCAATCTTCTAGTGGCCAGTGGCTCGTGAAAATATGAAGATCGTTCAAAATTGATAACAGACGAACATCTATTCTAATCGTACTTTTGATGGCACTTCTCTATCTATTTGTCCACACTGCTCATTGATGATTTTTTTCATTCAATGTAGCTCGAATTCGTTAAGTTCATGTGTTACGTTCTTTCGAATACTCATGCGAGAGTTGATGTCATGTGGCATGAGCGTATACTCTCATTAGTACAGTGATCGTCTCGGCAAGAAAATAAAGGAAATCATATTTTGCATCGTCATTCAAGCTCTTTCTGCCGGTTTAGCCTTGATAACCGCACTGAGAGGCACATTTCATCAGTCATATTTGGCATTGTTTAAGATACTGCTCTTCATTCTTCCCCACATCTCTCCTGTCGGTCGACTGTCTTTCGCAGAGGAACTTACAGGGTATTAACCGTTCTTAACCGGTAAGCGTCTCGAAAACGTTAACTGAACGGAACTTAAACGGTAAGTGTATAAAAACGTTCACAAAATTGCCCCCCCCCCCCCCCCCCCCCCCCCCAGATGGTAATACGTAAAGAAACTAAGAGATAGAAGGAGATGCGGTCACGCGGGGATGTCAGAATGACGAGCTCTGATTGGATGGATTAGAGGCTAGGCGCAAAGGCTAGCTGTCTCTACCCGCTGTCTCCCTCCAAACAGGGCGAACGAAGAGCGTCGCCTGCTTCTCGCCCAGTGTTAGAACACTGAGAACAAAGACGAAAGCAGCTAGGCTTTCCGTCATGCCCACCCATCCTTCCAATCAGAGCTGGACGCTTTGACGCCCCTCCCCATCTTTCAGCTTTTCTCCGTATATCATTATTGGGATTTAAAACATTCATTTCCATAAAGTTTGCCGCTTCTATTACGGTACAGTTTTGAACAATTACCCAGTGACTCTTGCCAAACAACAACAACAACATAAAAACAAAACGCGACCTTGCTACACGCTTCTCACGGTTGCCAAGTCATGCGGCAAATAGGTTGCGAAGAACCGCGGTGGGCGCGCATGCAGCACATGCAGGCAAGTTGTTGGATATACAGTGCTGCTGGGTCCGCGTTATCAGCTCATGAAAATAAAGCGGCGCCGGCTGCCGCGCACTTCTTTCCTGCTGAGCGACGCAGTGGGATTTGGGAGTCACCGAGCGTACAGTTCCTCGACCCTGCACGTCAAGGTGTGGCCCGTGTACACTTTATCCGCGGCTATAGCCTCGTTTCTTGGCTTTTCAGGGTCCAACTCACTGGAGCGTGTCCCTCCGCTACCCGTTCGAGCGGACAGTGCGCTGGAAGCACTCGGTCGGACCAGTCAGACGTCTGTCTTTTGCCCCGCGCGTGTTCACGTCACACTCCCATCCATACTCACATGATCTCTATGATACTCACGCGTAGAGGGCGGGGTCAGGTGACGAAAGGGAGGTGGTTGATTGGTCCTGTGAGCGCCTAGCTTCCACCGCACTGTCAGCCTAGGGGGGGGGGGGGGGGGGGGGGGGGGGGGTGGAGCGTTACGCCTGCGAAGGTTGGCGAAGGCCACTTCCATCCGCACACTACATCTACAATTACAAAACAAAACAAAAAAAAAGCCGTATATATGCTTACTTTTTTTTTTTTACGGATTGAGAGGGATTTGTGCTTCATGGAGCGTTCTTATACGTGGATTCTGTACGCTTCTGCGTTTTATTTGTAGGGAGTTTTGCGCGGATTGGTGGCTGCCGTACCGCGTACACCGTGCGGTACAACTAGTGCGAACACGGCACCGGAGTTTTTTGCGCGTTTTACTCAGGCGTGGTGTTGATAAGTATACCGCTCGAGTTGGAGTCACAAATGGGCACTTTCTACAATGCTAACAGTTGTAATGATATCCTTTCTACTCCAAAGTTAGGGTCATCTGCGCATACATCATACAAAAGTCAGTCTGCAAACACGAGTCACCGCCATATCCGTGGTTCGAATGCCGTGTGCCCAGGGTTCTCCTTGAACTCATTGCCATGCGTCATTCGAACCACGGATCATGCGGAGTCTCGCCCTCGAATCTGTATATGCAAACTGTCTTTTGTATGATGTATAAGCAGTGTGACCCCGGCTTAAAAGAAAAATGGAAGACAATCGGTTAACGTGAAACGTTCTTTGCCCCGCCAGGGAGGGTCGCCACATTTATTGAAGCCCACAAAAATTGACTACGAAGCTCGACGCTGATTGGCTGGTGGAAAGGTCATTTGATCAGCGCTGATTGGTTGATTTTAGTGAGTATGGGAGGTTCTGAAAAATCGCCAGGCTTTACAACCCGACTAGCGCCAGTGTCTTCACTCCAGGAACTGCTATCATTAAGTTTATATGCCACGTGTTAAGTTATCTGATATAGAATGCAGTGACCGCAGGAGCCAGGCTCGGCCAATACCTTGTATCCACCACATTTGACGGGAGTTAGTACTACGAGGGCGTCACAATATTTGGTGCCCCAGTAGACTTCCGCTAGTGTATTGATTTGTTCTTCAGCCACGCACAGTGATCGGGTAAGATTTTCCATGGAAGAAGAACTTGTAATACGTTTGTAAGAACCTGTGCGCATTGTAGGACGTGGTACAAATAACAAAAGGATGTGAGACAAAAGGAAAAGAGGAAAACCGGAAGCGCACAGGGGTCCGCCCATAGCGGGCGCCAGCGAGCTTGTTTGCAAACACCCATCGGTGAATAAACTAAAGCCAGCGCGTTTCGTTTTGTTACGTCAGCTACGTTTCTGCTCTTTGGCCAAGCGAGGAGAGCCAGCAGGGGGTTTTCACCGCCGAGTATCTGCGACGATGCTGACGAAGCATTCCCGCAAAGATGGAATGGGAATTGTGCTATGGGTTGTACTTCTACCGACTAAATCTAATAAGAATAATAATAACAAAAAAGGAGCTGATGCGACGTGACGACGCAATTTTATATCCGGCAGGCGGCGCACAAGCGAAGAAGAGCTAGACATCAGGTGCGCAATCGGGCAACGTTAGAAAGCTGATACATCCACCATGTCAAACTTTTACCAACTCCCCCAGTTCAACACCTTGTTACGGAAGCAAGACGCCTACGAATTCACTGCGTCCGTCGACGACCCGAGTCTATAGTGTTTTCGTGTGTTCGGATATGAAGATCAACGCTTTATATGTCTTGTGTTCCGTGGTGTGGGGAAAACTATGCCGTAGAATCGAAGGCTCATGCACATATTCTCCTTCCCAACCGACGAGAAACGGCGTATTCAACAGATTAAGGAAAGTCCGGAGAAAGTAATTAAAGATGCGAGCTCTTGTACCTTGAACTCTTGTACTTCCGAATTGTCGATGTGCCCAGAAGAACGATAATATACTAAACAACTCCGTTTTTTTTTATTCTCATTAGTTATTTTTAAAATGAGTTACCACTTCCATAGTGTCTTGAAATATTTAGTTGGTTTTATCATGCGATAAAACCACTTGCACAGAGAATTTTTCTTGTTGTTCCGGCTTTTGTATTTAACATCACCGACTATGATTTAGCAGCGCTGTCGTCCAAGGCTCCTATTCTGACCTGTATGTAGCTGGATACTTCGCCTCTGTGACTATGAAAACATTCAGGTGCGAATAGCGCAGAGAACATTTGGTTTTGGAGAAAACACTTCCACGCGATACATGCCGTGGTTCATCATCTGACAGACGCTTTAAATGGAAAGGAACTGCACCTCTCAGCACAACTGGTCGCCAGTGGGGTAACGCATGCTGAAGTTTCTGTGAATAAGCTCATGTCGTCCCAGCACATCGCGAAGTTCTTGCGGTCACGTGAGCAACGAATAGTTGTCACGGAACTGACACTAGCTACGCTGCCAGAGTTCGAATAGTTGAACACTTGTGCAAGGGAGTCGACAAACATTCTTCTCAACATTGCCAGCAAAAAGAAAAATATGCCTTAGGTAAGATGCATGGTCTGCTTCAGCCAAAAAGCAGCTGTCTGTTTTACCCCAAAAGTTAGCGTTGTTTTAAAATAAAGTGTGAAGGAATTACGACATCTCCGTTGAGCGAGATACTAAGACCCGAAACGGAGGCCAAAAGGAAGTTGTCTCATGGGACGAACTACACATTTTGTCACGTTCATTTATCACATGATGGGCTTCTGACACGTAGTCAATCAGTCACATTTTGTGTCGCATTTGCTTGTTTCACTCTATTAAAACTACATTTTTTAAACTAAACAAATGACCCTTAATGAGCGAGCCGTCAGTTATTTTCGGACATTTTTATACGAAAGTGGCCGTACAAACTGTGGTAAGACATAAAGATCGTACTGTTACTTTTATTTTATCTTTCAGGAAACCACATCGGAGGCGCGAAGCGTAAAATACTATTTTACATATTTTCTGGTTGTGCCGTAAGCATGAACGTCAAAAATACGTTTCAGATTAAAGATATTTGTGATTGTAGAACAGCGCTTTGGTTTTACAAAGGAGATTAAGTTAAATAATTGTGGAAAAGGCGTCGTCGCTAACATTTATCATGACTGTTTTCAGTCGTCGTAACTTAATAGACGAACTGTAAAAGTTAGAGTTGTTAAGTGAACTTCTAATCTAAAAAAAAAATACTCTAATTCGCTTAACC